GATTTTTGCGATTGAGAAAAAAAAACAAAGAAAAAAAGAAAAAAAAAAGAAAAAAAAAAAAGAAAGAAAGAAAGAAGAAGAAAAGATAAGAATATTAATCCACATGAAGACTGACGATTAAATAAACGTTAAAAATTAATCGTGGATGAAAAGACGCGGCACGCGACACCAGAGAAGAGAATCGCATTATGGATGCAAAGAACGATATACCATAGCTGTGGTGCATGATAATCACCGTTAAAGGAAAGGTCCAAACGCGATGGTGGCCCTACCAACGAGCTCTCTCACTCTCTTTCTCTTTCAACAGAAAGAGAAAGAGAGATAGAGAGAGAGAGAGAGAGAGAGAGAGAGAGAGAGAGAGAGAGAAAGATTACAGGATGTCCGGAGGCGAGAACCAAGAGGATTCACTCCACGCGCCCTGAAATCCCTTTCCGAACGCTTACGGGCAATAAAAATTAACAGGCTGACCGCCCGAATTCGTACGATGAAAGACGAACCGCCGCTACTTCGACGACGGTGGCGTGTGAATAATACATAATTATCTTATATATATATATATATATATATATATATATATACATATATATATTTATATATATGTATGCATGTATGTATATGGGGGGTCCTAAAATGTCGACTTTGAAAGTCGACGCCGAAAATAATTACCGATGACAAAGTTTATCGTTTTTCTTCGAATTCAAAAAATAAAACAGAAAAAGAAAAAAGATAAGAAAAAGATAGACAGACAGACAGACAGGCAGAGAGAGGGAGAAAGAAAGAGAGGGGGTATGATAATTTTTTTTTCCTTTCTTTCTTTCTTTCATTTTTCCTTGCCATCTCTTCAAATCATTTCGAAGTCTGATAAATTTTTAAAGTAAAAAAGCAATTGGTCTATTTTTTCCAAAAAGATTTTGACTAATTTTTTCTATTTCTTCTATCTTTCTTTTTTTTTTTTTTTTTTTTTAACTATGTAATCTTAAGTTATTACAATGTTACGTATTAACATAAAGACCAAATCTAAAAAATCTCGAAAAAGATTTTTGTATTCATCTAAGAATTTTTGGACTGTAAATAAAGTATATTTGAAAATTTTATTTACAATTTGTTTGTATTATTCAAACAAATTCAATTTTTTTTTTTTTTTTTTTTTTTAACTATGTAATCTTAAGTTATTACAATGTTACGTATTAACATAAAGACCAAATCTAAAGAATCTCGAAAAAGATTTTTGTATTCATCTAAGAATTTTTGGACTGTAAATAAAGTATATTTGAAAATTTTATTTACAATTTGTTTGTATTATTCAAACAAATTCAATTAAACATTCGTAAACTATCAATTCGTAAAAATTTAATTAAACTCTCTCTCTCCTCTCTCTCTCCTCTCTCTCTCTCTCTTTCTCTGTAATATCACATATAAAGTCTCATTTACATTTCTGTATTTTTTGAGTTTCCTTTTATCATTTTTTGATCACTATGAAATTAATTTTCTTATTTAATATCGAATACTTTTATGTTCTATAAATATAAATCATATACTCGATATACTATAATTATACCCGTATAAGTAATATAATAAAAATAATGTATATAGATATATATATAGTATAATTACTATCATTTGTATGTCGAAAAATACTTAATTAATCATTAATAACCCGTATAATAATAATCGCTTTATATCTCTAAATCTTTATCATATTATTCAAATTAAAATTTAATACTTACAACAATGATATCAAATTTATATCGAAATATAAAATGACACAATGACGAACAATATTACCGCCTATCATTATTTATATATCAATAATTCATTCTAATAATCAATAAAACAGTAACAAATCATATATCCCTTCTCCTCTATTATTTTACCTAACTAAACAAATTATACAATATGAAATCTCTAAGATTTCATAAATAATATTTGACAATTGGTTAATCGAACGTATGAAATATAATCGAAGAGGTGACGACGAATACGATTAATCTTTCGATTAAAAGAGGAGCAGTGTTAGGTGATCGAGATGGGGATTGGATGATGGTGGTGGTGGTGGTGGGGGAGAGGGGTGGGACGAACTCGTAGCGGTAGACAGAGGGTAAGGATAGAGGGATGAGGATGTTGAGGGAAGGAGATCGTGCGGTAAAAAAAAAGAAAAGAAAAGAAAAGAAAAGAAACTTATAATATTTTTTGTTATCTCTTTTGAAACATATACCCGGCATAAATTACCTTTCAACGCTTAACAGAGTGGAATCGTCGATTTTGTATCGAACGGTCCGTGCACAAGGATATACATCCTTTCAGCGAGGAAAGGATACGGTGTGTACAAGGCTGACTGCTCATCTTGCATACCGAGTAGACTACTAGGAATCCTTTCCTCGTATCCTTTGCACGCGCGCTCGGCCCCCCTTCTTTCATTCCTTCCCTCCTTCTTTCTTTCTTTCTTTCTTTCTTTCTTTCTTTCTTTCTCGCGCGTAATCTCTCTCTCTCTCTCTCTCTCTCTCTCTCTTTTTCTCTTTAACTCCGTCTATCTCTCTCTCTCTCTCTCTCTCTCTCTCTCTCTCTCTCTCTCTCTCTCTCTCTATTTCTCTCTCTCTCTCTCTCTTTTTCTCCCATGGTTTCTCTCGTCGTTCGTGCGTAGTTTATCGCAGCGAGCAATATTCATCGCATTTGAATATCCTGCGGGCGGTATCTCGCGTACCGATCAGGATGTTGCGCCGATGTTGCCATAAATCATAATTAGCTGTGGCTGAAAATTAAAAGTGGAGGAGGAGAAGGTAGCAAAGAGAGATAGAGAGAGAGAGAGAGAGAGAGAGAGAAAGAGAGAGAGAGAGAGACATAAGAGAAACGGAAACCCTTCCTCTTTCTCTCGGCGCGAGAGCACACAAAGCTTGCGAAAAAGAAGGATACAGCAACAACCGTGAAATAAGAAAAAATAAAAAAAAGGAAAGGAGAAAAAAAAGAAGAAGAAGCAGAAGAAGAAGAAGAAGAAGAAGAAGAAGAAGAAGAAGAAGAAGAAGAAGAGGAGGAGGAGGTGGAGGAAGAAGAAAGGTTAAACAAAAAGAAAAAAATAAGAAAAAAACAAAACGAGAGAGAGAGAGAGAGAGAGAAAGAGAGGAAGAGAAATATATATATATATATATATATTTATATATCATATATTTATATTTCATGCTTCTTGTCCTTTGGTTCGAACCTCCATCATAATTTTGATATGTTTATCGAGGCTAAACGATTAAAGGCGCCGACCAAGCGTAAAGTCCTCTCAATGGAGAACGGAAGGAAGCAACCCTTCTACGATTCCGAAGACCGATTACAATCTCTTGAGTTGTGTGCAAGAAGCCGATCTTCTCCGTCTTGGGTGGTTATACGTGACTCTTTTAAGAGAAAAAGAGATAGAGATAGAGTTAAAGAAGGAGAGAGAAAGAGAGAGAGAGAGAGAGAAAGAGAGAGAGAGAGAGAGAGAGATTGCTTTATATCTTCCCGTTCTATGGAGATCCATCTTGCTGTGCACCTGTTATTTATATCCCTTGAGAATTCCTTATTTATGTATGTGAGACTATGCTCTCTCTCTCTCTCTCTTTCTCTCTCTCTTTCTCTCTATCTCTATCTTTCTCCTTCTCTTGAATAACCGCGTCATTCAACCGGAAACGTTTATGTAAGTATGTACATACACACGATGTAAGTATGTAGTTATATCGTATTCGTTCATTGGTGGTCTTTTAGTCTATAAATATATTTATATTGCATTGTATTATTATATTTTCTTTGATGAAAACGAAATCTTTACGTAAATTCGAATTCTGATTCTTCTTTCGTTCTTTTAGTTTCTCATTATTTCTAACTCGATTTTCTTCTGTCTACCATTTTTTTCTTTTTTTTTTTTTTTTTTTTTTTTTTTACAAAGACATCGTTTTAATATTCAATCCACTCTTGATAATTGATCGTCGAGAATTTTTTAATATAAATAATGACGATTTATGGGATATGTAGAATTTTTATGTTTTAAAAAAATTCATATATAAGAAATTTCATATATACATTTCGGATAATTAATTTAATTCTTTTTAATTTTTGAATTATACATGAAAAATTATCATCGGAGAATGTTCTTACGTGTTATTAATATTGTAATCGTTTATAATGGTTCTTTTATGAATGTATATTTTTAAAAAAATCAATGCAAATTTGTGGAATTTGTTTTCTTTTCTTTTTGGCTTTTTTTTTTGGTTTTCTTTTTTTTTTGTTTTTTTAATTAAACCCACCATGGGACAATGTTTGTCTCCTAACTATTTACACCGTCGAAAAGTAATAGTATTATTTTTTATACCATTTATCTCTTTTCATCGGAAAATTAATCGTAACCATCATCGTCTTCGATTATCGATTATAATGAAATATTACTTTTCTTTATTATTGTTTAAATTAATTAAATCTATTTTGATATATAAGCTTGAGAAAGATGAACAAAATATAATTTCTAAAATAAATAATTATTGTATCGATCGTCAACTTGATTATTATCTCATCCATCGATTGTCGATTTTTTTAACGAAATTTTGTCATTGCAATTACTTTTTAAAACGTTCCACGACTTTCTAATTATTCTTTCATACATATACATTGATAAAATAAATAACATTATTAATTGATAATAATAAAATAACAAAAAGAAAAAAAAAAAGAAAAAAAAAAAGAAAAAAAAATAAGAAAAATAAAAAAAAAACTTTCTAGCTGTCTTTTTGTTTCTAATAAAAAATCAATAATCACAGTTATCGTCGCTGCGATCATTATTATCACGATCGTTCAAATCGATCAATATCGTTCGTTAGAAAATTTGTAAAAAAAAAAAGGAAAAAAAAAAAAAAAGAAATTGCTTTTTTTTATTTAATAAAGAAAAATTTTATCTGTTTTTTTTTTCCCCCTAATCGAACCTCATAATTCTTCCCAACGAATGTCCATAGACATTTTGATAAATTAAAAGTATGATGATCTATTACCTTTTCAGAACGTTTTTTAGTTGGTGTCGTTGTACCGTTAGGCCTGCCATGTAGATCAGTTTCATTGGCCATCCGATCGAAACGTTGCATCCGTTCACGGAAGCTCAATTCCTCACCGGAGCCAGGATTCGCAGTAGTGATCTCATCTTCCTGTATCGTCAACAATCACCATTGCTACGAGTCCTTTTTCAAAATTGAATATCTCTTTTCGAATAAACCACACGACTACATACCCCAACTACATATACCAGCGACAGCAACGACAACAACAATAACAACAGCAGTAACAACAATAACAATAACAACAACAACGACAGTAATAATAATAATAATAATAATAATAATAATAATAATAATAATAATAATAATAATAATAATAATAATAATAATAATGATAATAATAATAATAAGACAAATCAAGCGAATGAAAAGAAAGAAAGAAAAAATAAAGAAGGACGAAATGTGGTTGGATCAAAGACAAAAAGAGAGAAAAGAAAAAAAGAAAAAAAAACAAACAAAGAGAGTACATATACATTAGGAAGATCTACAAAGGATCTACAGAAACAAAATTGTACGTATATAGATCTAATATGATGTATATTAGGTTATAATTAGGCGATGATACATACATGTTTATGAACGAGATATTCATAAATAAAGCTCACATTATCTCACGGTGTGATATATAATACAAGTGCATTATTACGAGATATACACTAATGAGGATCATTGTAGGAAATTAGGTGTTTCTAATAAAGGCAATATAGCTATATGCGTGTCAAGCATACTCGTTTATCGAGTTATAGATTGGATCGAAAGTTCCTAATACAATTGAAAATTTCGAAATAATTTTAAACAACGATTAGACTTTTCTTTCTGCAGGCTGGTTAATTAGATTTGTAATTTTACAATTTAACGAATGGGAAAAAAAAAGGAAGAAGTATTGGCCTTAAAAGTCTTGAAAAAAAAAAAGATAATCGATTGCCGAAAATCACCATAGGAACTTTTGATTCATCTAGGAATTTTTAATCCATTATTTATAAAGAAAAAAAAAAAAGAAAAAAATATATATATACATTAACATATGTATAGAAATATACATCCACGGTAATGCAAATTTACAAAGTTCTACGCATCTACAGCTTTTGAAATTAATTTGCCATGCTATTGTGTGAATACAAACGTGAAAAGAAAAAGAGAAAAAAAAAAGGAAAAAGACAAAAAAAAAAAAAAGGAAAAAACAAAGAAAAGAAATTGTTTGATACAACAACTACACTATAAAGCGTACACCATTTATAAACTACAATAGCGAGTACGTATTTTTATTTGACTTAGTAAAAAATTAAATATATCGATTTGAATATTATTTTCTTTCGTTAATATTTCTAAAAATTTTCTAAAGAATCTTTTTGACTGTATAATATTTTTTTTGTTATTATTATTATTATTACTATGTATGTAATATTTATATATATAATGTTTATTTATATAATATTATATACATAATAATAATAATAATAATAATAATAATAACAAATATAATATAATATAATATAATATAATATAACATAAACCTACAAAACTTCTAAATTTGTTTTTCATACTTTTCATTTAAAAATTATAATAATAATTATGATAAATACATAATTATATATATATATATATATATATATATATATATATCAAGCTTGTAAAATAACAAAAAAATATATAAAATAACTATTTGCTTGCTATGAGTAACATATTTTTTAGTTTCATTTTATTTGCCATAATCGCTAAAACATTTCACGAATTTCCAACTTATTCTGATGCACACACATATATATATATATATACACATATATATATGTATATATGTGTATACACACACACACATACACACACATAAATACACATATTGATAAGATAAACAAGTATAATGTTTCTACTATAAATAGTATAGTTAAAAGAGTTAGAAATGTAAAATTGTCGTGCCAGAAAAGAAAGAAAGAAAACCAAAAAAAAAAGAAAAAAGAAAAAAAGGGAAAGAAAAAGAAAAAGAAAAAGAAAAAGAAAAATTATTATTACAAATAAAAAGAAAAAAGAAAAAAAAATATGTACTCACTTTGACAACCCCATCGGTACCAGTCTTGTTCCTATCAACGTTCTCTTTATTATCCATCCTGATCTTGTCCTGACCCTTTCGACGTGGTGGTACCGGTGGCGATGATGCACTAGACGATCCAACCTCGTTGAAATTATTTTTCTTTGCTGTTTCAAGGTCACTATCAAAATTTCTACGCGGCTCGTTCTCACAATTTACTTCCTGATTGTTATGATTATTAGAGGAGGGGCTGAGGGGTGCAGCTGGCGGTGACCGATAAGGTGGAGGTTCTCGTAAGGGTGAATTAGGTGAACCTTCAGCCGAATTAACTTGTTCCGAACACGTAAGATCCAACGACGTTTGCCGATATTTTTTCTTCAATACCAAATATTTCTCTCCCTAAGAATCAAAATCATTAAATTGTGATTATGATGTGTATAATCGAGATTATAATAAAAAAAAAAATAAAAAAAAATAAAAAAAAAGGAAAAGAAGGAAAAAAAACAAAAAAGATTTATCAATTAATACTCTATTCTTATTATTATACGATATAAAATTTATTATATATAAATATAGAAAATTGTATATAAATATTGTATATGAAATGAATTTATTACATATGTGTGTGTATGTTTCTGTATGTATGCATGTATATATTTGAAACATTTAATTACTTATTTATTTTTTATAGATTATATATTCAAAGTTATTTTCTTTCTTTTCTCTTTTTTTTTTTTTTTTTTTTGAATATTCAATAAGAAATTCAAGATTTCAGAAAGAAAAAAAAAAGAAATAAATACGGAATTTCAAATTTTAATAAAAGAAAAAAAAAACAAATCTACAAAGAAAAATTTAAATTTAAATTTGTCAATAAAATAAAAGGATTTAAATTTAAACTAAGATACAAAATTAAATATCTCGAAAGATTTTTGGAATAAAGGAAATTTTTTTAATTCCCATATCTTTAATCACAAAAATTTAAATATATTATTTATTAATAACAAGTAATTACAGAATCGTCAAATAAAAATTCTTCAAAAATTTCTTATTTGACAAATCTTAAATTTTTTACTTATTCTTTTATTCGATCAAATATAAATTAAATATAATAAAATATTTTATTCATTAGAAATAAATTGTAGAATTATGAAATTTAATATTAATCATAGAAAAAAAAAAAGAAAAAAAGAAAAAAAAAGAAATAAAAGTAGCAAGGAATTTTCAAAATTATCACAAATAAAATCAATTGAAATCAAATGAAATAAATTTAAACTTTCGTAATAGAGAATTAAAAATTGTTTTAAATCGGACATAAATACGTACACACGCACACACATACACATACACATACACACACATACACACGCACACGATTAAAAATTCCACGTAGAAAATTTCCAAATATTCATTTCTAATCTTTCATACTTTTTTCCCTTTCTCTTAAATTCTATATATTTCTAATAAACTTCAAAATCGCGAAACATCCGTAAGTTTCTGATTTGTCGTTACGTATGAAAAAAAAAAGAAAAAAAGAAAAAAGAAATAAACAATAAAAATAAGTAGAGAATTCTAAAGGGGAGAAATAAAAAGAAGAGAAAAAAAAAAAAAAAAAAAAGAAAAAAGAAAGAAAAGGAAAGGAAAAAGATATCTTACGGAAATTAATATCACGTAATATCCGGATACGTTTCTCTAACGTTTCTCTCGAAGTCACTCGACACAACGTTTCTCGTGTAAAATAATATATATATATATATATATATATATATATATATATATATATACATATATATGTATATATATACATATATAAACCGGAATACATTGCGAATAACAGTCCTAATACACGACTAGCACGGATAAAACGGAAAATAGTTTGGTATTGTTGATAACGTTCACGGTCGCTCACGTATGCGTCATTTCCATAGTAACATTCGAATTAGACGATATCGCGCGCCAACGACGTTGTTAGAAGAGAGCCGGCAACGTCGCACGAGGCGCAACAAGTCGCTCCTGTCAAGGCGGAAGGAAAAGTGCGATCGAGCGACCTTACCTCCTCGTTCTTTATGGTGGCCAGAGTGTTCACGTACTCCTTGAATCGATTTCGTGCTTCCACTGCAAAAGTAAAAGGTTCATCGTTTTATACGTTTCTCTCTCAAAGCCAAGAGAAAGAGAGAGAGAGAGAGAGAGAGAGAGAAAAGGGAGAAAGAAAAAAAAATGAAAGAGAGAGAGAGAGAGAGAGAAGGAAAAATAATAGAATGGAGAAAGAGAGAGAGAGAAAGAGAGAGAGAGAGAGAGATAAAACAAAAAAACAGAAGTCTTTTCTAGAACATTGTAAAAGTACCGACAAAAACAATACACACAACGACGTAAATACCGATCTAAAGGTATACACATATACAGATAAGCGTATACATTTGTATATATATATATATATGTATACACATAGACACGATTTATACGTGTGAGAGTATACGTCACATGGAACTTACTCACGCGAGGTCAGATACGGAAGAGAGAACGCACACAAATACACATGGACGCGTGAGAAGTTAGTTAGCTAACATCGTATGGTAAGTGATAACGTTTTTTTAAACTCACCTCTCGTTTCGGGATCGGTTAAAAATTTTTTGAAATACTTGACGACATCGTGATTACGCGCTGTACCACCGTTTTCCAATAGATATTTCCGAATCTCGTCGAGGGACAATTCGCTGGGCGTCGCCATCTTGCTCACTGCTAAGACTGATCTCGTTACTACA